ATATACATATATATATATATATATATAAAAATCAGTTGTCTTATTCTGAAATATGATTTTGATCCGTATTTCTATGAAGGACATGAGCAACAGGCAGAAAACTACAGCAGTAACCAATCTTGCAAAACGACTCACATATAAGCTTGCAGCCTCCTTTTAATAGTGAAAACCTAAAATGGTTCAGAGAAATAGTATCGTGACAACTTAGTAACAAAATCCACGTGAATTCTACTTATCAAATTATCTGGTAACATGCCAGATAGGGGACGAAACACTACATAAGAAATGAGGAAAAAGTTGTCCTGCAAATATACAGTCTTGATGCTAAATACCCAGTCTGGACTTAACACTGTTAAAACCAGCCTCCACGTAGCCATGTCCTGTTAGGACTTAGGTCCTCAAGGGCAGATCTAGGTGTGCACTATTACTTCAGCTTCCTCAGTCCAGAAAAAGCTGTGACTTCCCAGTTTTAACCAGGATTGCTATGCCTTCTCTTAAAAGTTAGCATTTGTACCTCATAAATTATTCTCTGCACGAGGTCAAACTCCCCCTCCAAAGATGAATCCAGAAGCAATGCGAGGGGATTGAATTTCACTCTCATTCCGTGCCCAATTCTCTCGGAGCCAGTTTTACGCAAGTTCGTCCTCTTCCCCTGTGAGAAGGTAACACAAGTTACAGGCATTTTTCTCCTGGGAAGAACAAGAATATAGAATTGCTTATTTGAGGATGACAGCAGAAACCACCAATTAAGGGAGCGTTTAATGTGAAAGGCAGACTATTTTCTGACAATTCCAACACATTATGAATATAGTAGGTTAGGCATGTTATGAAAGATCTCTGCCTTCATGTCCAGACAAGGCCAGTATTCTACTCAAATACTGAAGTCACCTTGATGAAACACATCAAAACCATAAAACTCCCAAATCTCTAAAGATCAGGTAAAAAAATGCAAGTTTTTTGAATGCAGACCATTTCAGCATTAGGTCTCAAAGCTGTTACACAAACCAAGAACCTTGAAAGACTCCATCAAGTATGCTACTTTTTAAGCACCAATGAGAAGTTCCTAACATTTTCCTAAGTTTAGCAGAGTTTAACAGGAACAGAAACAGTTATGGAAAATGGGTTTGGAAAGAATACAGAACCAAGGGTAGAAACACTTCAGATGCTCTCAGTGATACTGGAAACCAAGTATTTCTATAGCTGAGTTTGTACTCCTTTCTTTAGAAAATATGCACACATTAGCTCAGCGCTCTCCCCAGCTGGCTGTGCAGCAGCAATAAACACTATTCATAAGGATATGTAAATTTCTGACAGATGTCCAGGCAAAGATGAATAGAAATGACTCATGTTTTGCAAGAGCAAACATGTGAAGATAAGATATATAAGACGAGATTCCCAGAAAATGCTCTTTTGCCTCTTGATTTTTACATAATATCAAAAGTAAAGGCTTTTTAAAGAAAGAGCCTGTCAGCACAACCCAGGTATTTAAATATGAAATCAAGAAGTTGGGCCGGTTTCTTCTCATCATCGCAGAATTATTACAAAACCAGACAGAAACGAGTTCTTACAATTTAGGAAATCCTACCACTCAGGCTTCCTTGTAAAAGGGAGCAAGGAAAAAGTCTTGAAAGCATGAAAACATGCAATGACTATTCCATGCAGAAGTTAAAAGCTTTAAATGTGCTTTTTAGCCTTGTAACTCCTCTGCACTGAAGTGATGGAGGAAAAAAAAAACAAACCCCACTTTCATGTATTGAGTTATTAACATTCTATTCATGGTAGGTTTTAAAAGAAATTCTTTGAGGAACTGAAAGCAGTAAGCATTTCTGTTCTACAACAGCGAGATAACACCATACCACAAACACAGATACAAACTTCCAAAACAATCAAGATGGTAAAATGCTGCCTACCCTTAGCCCAAAGAGACTCCATTTTGATGGAACTTGAGAACTGACTGATGTTAAATCAGGTTCCAAAGAAAGACTGAGAAAACATTTCAGTAGAAGTGCAAGCAGCCAATATCTACAAATGATTTTTAAAGCAGAAACTAAAGAAATATGTTTCTCCATATTTTTCAAGCAAGGCACTGTCAGATAAACAAATGCAATCTGGGATCAATATAATTAGTTTCCATCTCATATCAGCAATAGTGGGAAATGCCTGTGAAATCTGTATCTGTGCCTGAAAAAACACCCAACCAACTTCAATTTCTCTTAAGAAGAAAGTACAATTTTGATGTAGTAGGCAGACCTCTATAAGGAATGTTCTTTATAGCCTGGAAGAGTTTTACTTTTTGTGTATCACATTCCATTTGAAACTTTTCATCATGTCATAAATTCTCGAGACAACAGAGACTTTTCATTACTTTCATTCACTCTGGAGATAATAGCATCACACACACAGAACAGCTACCCAGAGACAGACTTCTAGCCTACTTGTGTGACTGTTCTCCCACATCTGCTTAAGCTTCACAGGACAACACACAGGGCTTATTGGCAGAACTTGAGATGACTTATTGACAGGGCACTGAAGTTGTGGGCTAACTAATACTTACAGGAGGCAAGGAAAACTGCCCAGTAACTTCAGGAGGCCTCATATTGAATGAGTCCTCTCCCAAACTCTCTGGTTCCCCTGATGGATAGGGAGGTGGTGGATATGGAGGATATTCTTCCATGTATACCTCCAGTGGCAGTGAAGCTTCTAGGCTTGGTTCTTCCACTTTCGGCTGCGTGAGTTCATCACCATCTGACGTGCCCTCAGGTACAGTGTCCAATGCTACAGAGGGAAGAACAGCTTCACTCTCATCTGCTGGTGTGTTTTCTGCTTCCTCAGCAATGGTCGGTTCTGGCATAGAAGCAGCTGTTTCTTTTTCCGATTCTGTACTTAGATAAGGATTTGGGATTTCTGCTGGGCTTTCAGGACTGGAAGCTGATGTCGTCTGTTTGGAAGGATGTGATGGAGCTGAGATAGTCTCCATTGCAGCCAGAGTGGTCCTCTGATACAACAGCTTCTGAATATTGGGGCCATTAGGTCCTTCTGGCTCAGTAATGGAGCTACGTTTCTTCAGTGGCCTGGGTGCATTGGACAGCTTTTTCCGTAGTGCTTCCAGATCAGCATCACTCTGGTTGCGGTACGGATTGGATAAGAAAGGCAGCAATTTCGTCGGGCTAAGGGGACGGGGTATTCGCTCTGTTTCGTGATTCTCGTGAGCAGAGGCTGTTGTTTCCATCTCAGGCTCTGGACTGCCCGGCTTGCCTTGGAGGTTTGAGTAGACATTCTCCATCTGCGGCAGCTGATTCTGTACACCAGCTCCTGCCATCACAGGCTTGCCATACACTGCAGAGCAGTTCAGAGAGGGGTGGGGAAAAAAAAACACAAGTGTGAGTATTTGATCAAAGCAGCTAAAAAGAACATGCAACCTGATTTGCCTATGTAGGGCAAAGCAGCACAATAATAAGATCAAATGTACAGAATTAATCTAGTAACCAGGTTTACCATTAGTTATCTTGCAAATGCAAGACAGTTCTTCTGCACTTTTTGTTAACGCTGATACCTTACATGATAGAGCATGTAAGACCCACCTAAGAGTCTTACAGCTGTACTAACCTGCTTAATTCCCCTGAAGTACAGCTTTATACCCACAGACTAGGTGGAAAGTACATTGATCTGACGTTTATGAAGGCAGAAGACAGGTAGAGCGCCACATGCTTACCGCTCGAGAAGTGTGGTCCTCTGGTCTGCGCCCTCGTCAAAGCGCTCTGCACTGCCTGCTGGAAGTTCTTCCCGGGAGTCTGCTGTTGCGTGTACATGCTATAAATTGAACTTGCAGCCACAGTTTGAGGCTTTCGAAATGGTGGGAGCGAGGTCTCTTTGGACGGCTGAGGGGTAAAAGGTCTCACAGCTGCTGCTGGGGGACTTTCCTGTTTGGAGGAGGGAAGAATTTGGTCCTGGCTAGAGGAAGGACCTGCAGGAGGTACAGAAATTCTTTGCTGTATCTGCTGAGAAGGATGGGAAGGCTGCTGTGCCACTGGTTTTTGTTTGTTCCCCATAGTTAAAACAGCCAAAGGCAGCTTCTGCAGGTTTCCATCCAGCTTAGTATCAGAAGGTTGCAGGTGACTGGCTTGACCAAAGTAAGGCAAGTTTATCTGTTTTGGTTTAGTGGGGACAGGTGGTGGCACCTTTGTTACATTTTTATTGGCTGCCTGAAAGACAAAAAGAAAAAGTTAAGATTAAACAGCAAAACACGTTTTAGGAGTTCTGCTGTGAAGGACCAAAGAGCCTCACAGAACGACACAGTATCTAGCATTTCTACTGCTGCTGCAATACTGGAACAGCACTGGAAACATGAAGAGATTTCTTGAAACATTTTATGATCGTAGTTGTTCATACTTTGAACCCATTCTCTTTAATTCTTTCTGTAGCAGCTATGTTTAAAACATCAAGCAATGGCAGGGCACAGTAATTTCTCTAGAGATATTGGAGGCACGTAGTAGCAGCTGTAGGCAAGAAGCTTGTTTTACAACAGAGTGCTTGTCATCCCCAGTTCTTCTGTATGACTTCAGCCCTACCTGATCAAATTGTGCCCTTGTGCCAAGATTTAGGTGGGAAGTCTTACTGCAAATCAAGCATCTGAGGGACACTGCTGCATTAAACAGTGAAACAAGTGTGTAAATGATTTTAAAAACCCCATGCAAATACCTCCATGCATATAATCGGGGTGTGTGTGTGTGTGTGAGGATATATACATACACGCTAGTATAAGTAACATAGCCATTTTCATGCATTCAGTCAAAAGGTACATTTTCATCACAGTGAGTGTAGGGACCAATCTTGAGTTACCAACTGCCATTAAAAGCCTAAAAGATTTTTTTCCTTAGAAGTAGTCTTTTAAGAGAAGACCTAGGTACTTTTCAAAGAGCTTCCTGACAGCACCATTTGAAAAGCTGTGCAGTAATCCCCATCAGATGGGATGCAGTGGTTTGAGTTTCCTGCATACCTGTGCTTCTCGCAGGAGATCTTCACTGCTCTGGTTCTTTCTCAGCGTGCCGAGCCCAGCAGACTGGTCCACAGAATCAAACATTGAGAATGGACGCACTTTCTTCTCTTTGTCTCGTAAAAAAGTTTCTCCTTCAGCTGCTGTTAGAGAGAGAGGAAGACTTTTAAAAAGGGACAACACAATCATAGGAGTAAGAGTCCTGTTCTGTGCAATATTCAAGGGGATACTTTTTGTATCCATCCTACCCCTGCGGTAAGGACCCAAGGGCCTGCCAAATCCTGTCTCTTGCAAATTTAACAGGAGGATGTAAGAAGGCATTAGTATCTACTTCACCATCTGAAACTTTTTTTTAAATATCCCTGCATCATCATACTAAAGTTTATATAGCAGTATTCCTTGATTTTTTTTGTGCTTTCAGATGAATTCTAGATATTTACTGACGTATTTAGAAGAAACAGATCTCATTAACTAGATTTTGCATATTTTAAGATTAGCCAAGCACATTTAGAACATACCTTGTCCTTCACTAGTCACCATTCCTTTTCCTGAAGTCAAGGCTGATCCTTGACTAATATGATTGTCTGTATTTGAACTACTCCAGTCAGTGGCAGATGGGGAAGGTTTTGCACTGGGGACCACAGAAGCTAGGAGAGAGCAAGGGGAACAGATTAAGCTAAAATAATTTTATTGACTTATTTATTACAGTTTTGTTTGTTTGTTTTTTAAGAGTCAGGTCTAGACCGTGCACCACTATCATATACAGGTCAACTGCTATAAATCCTATCACTTTAGATTTTTGCTCATTTGTTCATTTTAAAAAGAGAACGCAAAACCAAGCTCAGAAACAACTATCAAAGCAGCAGCAAAACTATTTGTCTGAGCACATATCTGCACTTAACAGCATTCAGACGAGAAACTTCTTTAGACTGCCTTCTTTCCAGCTAGTAACTAACTTTCCTTGTACATTTACAGTAAGTTAAAAGTGACAGGATGGTAAGAAGGGATCAGAAAGACACACCATGCAAAGAAAAATATGATGCTTTAAAGCATAAATAGATCCTACAAGTAACATCCAAAACAGCAGAAAAATCATCTGTATGTTCAGTGTGCATATAGGCACTGCATTAAAGCTGATCTTTACATTCACTGGAGTAGACATCCAGTCTGCTTCAAAAATAACTAAGAAAATGCTTGCAACTTGCTATTAGTTTAAATACTTCACCCTAAACCTTTACCTTCACTAAATTGTAAATTATCTAGTACAATAAGTGATATTAAATTGAAATGGTAATGATAAGCAGCAGAATAAAAGTTTCATTCTGACAAAGTATCGAATACTATCGCTCTAGGAAAGCAATTGTTTTGCCCAAATGCTGAAGAATACAGAGTGATGTTTTAGTTCAAATAGCACACCACCACATATTCCTGTAGCAAAAATTCAAATCTTGTGTGCACTAGAGCTAAAATTCCACTCCAGCAGTTTTAGGATCTGCAAACAGCTCCCCATTCTCCAGTACAGCAAGAGACACTTGGACTCATTTTCTGTCATGACTACTTTAATAATAGTATCTGCCAGAGCTGGAGATGGAGGGAGGGAGACAAAAAATAAACAGAACTATTCTACAAGCTCAGCCTCCATTTTTTCCTTTTGGGAAGATCAGGGTTTCTCTGATGTCCCAGATGAAAAGTAAGTCTTCTCCTCCCAAGATAGCACAGAAGAGATATTTGCAACTCTCCAGTTTCTCCAGACTTCTGCTCTCATGGAGCTGAACTGTATCTCATAGCAGAAAGCCACAGAGAAGCCAGGCAAGTCTTCATTAACACTCCTAGTGGGAGAGGCCAAGCCTCATTTCAGGTATTAGACTTACGTCTCCCCATATTCCTATGCCATCAACAAGTCAGCAAGTTTACTGCTATTTCTGTGCTACAATTAACTGCTTCCTTTATAATATTTCCTGTGATGTTGGTTAATCTTTCAGATGTGTCCTTTCCAAAACACATGATTAGAAAACTTGGCTTTGTTAGTTTTTGTTAGTTTTTAAGTCCAGGCACCAGGTTGTTACCATGTATGTCCTAAAACTGCCTCTAGAAACTCAAACGAGCACTGCTGTATAGTTTTTAGGAGTAGTTTTAAATAAATAAATAAATCGCTAGTTTACAGAAAAACCTTCCTACATCCTACGCTGTGTAACAACTCAAATTGCTCACTAAGAGGATTACTTAAACTTGTAATACATTGAATTGTATAACTTCAGTACTTATAAAATATATTCACTAAGGCAGGCAAATTGCAAGTAGCAAGACTGACATTTCAAATAATACTTTGCTTTAAAACAAAAAGACAGAACTGGTAGATAAGAAAACAAAACATTTCTGAAGAAGAAATATTAATTGTAAGCTATTACCTGCAGGAGCTTTAGCTTGTGAACTGCTCCCAGCTCTCATGTTGGGTAGAGTTTGTGTTTTTAGTGGACCATCAGGTGCCTGCAAAGCTTGTGTCCCATCTGAAAATGCTGGTTTCACCAAAAGTTCAGGTCTGGAAGCAATACGTGGCATAGTAGAGGACTGGATGTAAGGACCTACTGCTGCCACTCGACTTGGAGCAGAAGCCACAGGTTGGGGTAAATTCCCATCTGAAGAAACCTTTGGAAAAAACAAAAAGACAATTTAAAGAGTGTTATGCTGCAATATCGACCCATCAGAGTTTGAAACAGAAGTCAAAAAAGGAAAAAAACAAGTAGAAAATTATAGCCCCATTTTAAAAATGCTTTTTAAAAAAAGCTTTAAGAGATACAAACATGAGGTAGTGATAGCAGAAATTATCTAAGAAAATAATTCCACGACAGCATAAGAACAGTTTTTGTCCATAAAGAGTAAGTAGGTTAACACTAATGTACCATGAAAAGTACTTTAATAATACAAGACTTCCACCACGTATAGATAAGAACAAGTCTAGCATCTGAACAGCCTTGCCCACAAGCAAGCTTTTTTCAGACTGTATGGGCCACAAATTAAATTAATTTTTTTTTGCTATTAAATATCCCACACTTACTGGTACATTCTCTTTTTGTTGCAGAGCTGCCTTTTTCTTCCACAGGCGCTCTCGCAGCTCATTAACACGCTTATCCATGACTGCCACCTCCGAGTTGCGCTTGTTCAAACACTCCCTCTGTTGCTGCAGCTTGGCATTCTGCTCCTGGTTCAGTTTGTTCCTCAACTGAATAAATTCACAAAGCGGGGGTGGGGGGAGGAGGGGAAAACAACAAAAATCAAAACAAATTAACTTTCAGGATGAGGGACAGGAAACAGTTACAAAGAGAAAAGCCTTCTAAAAAGTCAAGTCATGCTGGCAAACTCAGCTTATTTTCTCCTGAGAAAATGTTGGTCAGTCTCCAAATTTTGCAGAAAGGAAAGGTATATACACTGCGCGCTCCTCCTCCTGTTTACCTTGAACCCGGTACAACTAACTCTCCATCCTCAGCACACAGGCGGCCACGCAGCTTTCTCAGGAACAGGAGCAATAGGATTTCTTCCCAACGAGGCAAGAAACGACCCAACCAACTTTTAGCCCTTAGAGCTGTGGTTCATAAGCCAGCTTTGCCTTTACCTGCAGCTCCTTGTACAGGCGGTCAAGCTCAGCTACAGCTGACTGGTTGTCGTGGTAACCATCAATTCGGCCGTTCTTCAGCATCTCCAGTTGCCTGGTGAGTTCCTCTACCTTTGACACCGCCAGCACCAGCTCGCGCTGCTTTTGCTGGAACAGGCTGTTCATCTGTTCAATCTCCTCCACTGGAGAGGACGAGAGAGCACAATAGCTGCCCTGAGAAACAGGCGAGCGTGGGCTGCTTCCAAGGCGGCCGTTAAGGGGACAGAGAGCGCCCTGCCGGCCTCCGGAGCCGTGCTGCACGGAGGCTGCGGCTGCCTGCCGCAAACTCACGGTCCCTGTCAAACCAGCTCTTGTCGAAGCATTTGTAAAAGCAAACAGACTAGCAAGATTATGTAAATTCGGTCTACTTAGAGCACTGATGGGGAGGGAAAAAGAACACTTTTTACTTTCTGAAGCATGGAAAGAAACAAAACCACATACCTGGCTGAATTTAGTCTTAGAAGCCTAAATTCACTTAATGCTGAATTCCACAGGAAGACACTTGCTCAACCACAAAGCATATTTATGATATTTAAAACTCCAAATTTAGGTCATAGGAACTCAAATGACAAAACACTTCAGCTGTTATATTAAACAACGACTCAGAGGGCTTTTTAGGGTCTGTTACAAACAGGTGTCATCAGCTGCTCCCACTGCCAAAACTGTTGCATAATAGAACAAAGTTTAAGGACTCATTAAGAGTTCAAGCAAGTATGAAGACCAGACCTGCTGGGGATGGTGCAGGGTAACAGATACACGTACTCCAAGATCCTGTATTACTCTACCATCCTTCTATTCCTTTAAACTGATGTTTATTTTGTGCAACAGAACCCAAACAGAAAATGCATTCTTCACATAGAAAAAACACTTTTGCTTTAACTGTAAAGCACCATGCTTCCTATTAAAACAACATTTTTATTTATATTTTACCTTAATAAACCAATATATTTTCATTTTAGTCCAGCTGGAAATGACAATATGTATAGAGGGAGGATGAAAAGGTAGGCAGAAAAACTTGTGTTGATATGAAGTCTGAAATAAATATTTAATGTTGCATCAACATGCTGAACTGCAAGCACCCAACTAGTACTGTAGCAAGCCAGACACTAGTCGGATTTCCATAATTAAAAAGAAAATACTTGGCCACTTTGGCCATTAAGTTACCTGTTGCATAAGAGGCAACACATGGGTATCAGGCCAAGCTTTGTTATAGGCCAAGAAAATGACACTCTAAATGTGTGGGGTATTAACATCAAGGACGGAAAAAGTTGCTGTGGTACACAAGTAAATGTCTTGGTTTCAGCTGGGATAGAGTTAATATTCTTCCTAGTAGCTGGTATGGTGCTGCGTTTTGGATTTAGCATGAGAATAATGCTGATAACACACTGATGTTTTAGTTGTTGCTACATAGTGCTTACACCAAGTCAAGGACTTCTCACTTCTCATGCTCTACCAACTGAGAAAACTGGAGATGCACAAGATACTGGAAGGGGGCACAGCCAGGACAGCTGACCCAAACAGGCCAAAGGGATATTCCATACCATATGACATCATCCTCAGTATATAAACTAGGGGAAAGCTGGCTAAGGGGATGCTACTCAGGGACTAGCTGGTCATCGGTTGGCAGATGGTGAGCAACTGCATTGTGCACCACTTGGTTTGTATATTCTTTTGTCATCGTTATTATTACTATTTTATTTCAATTATTAAACTGTTCCTATCTCAACCCATGAGTTTTTTCACTTTTTATCTCAAACCATGAATTTCCTCACTTTTACTCTTCCGATTCTCTCTCCCATCCCACCACGGGGAGGGAAGGGAGTGAGCAAGCAGCTGTGTGGTGCTCAGTTGCCGGATGGGGTTAAACCTTGACAGTAAGGACAAAAACCTACACTGTAATTAAAGAGCAGATATACTAGGCTCAAAACACAGGGTGCCCTTATGGGATATTTTAAAATACAGTAAGAAAAATCTATTTTGTTCTAAGTCATTCAGGACTTTTCTTGGTAAATACAAGATATGAAATTATTAAGAGTTCCTGGAACCCTGTAAACACCTCCTCTGAATCACTGAAATCACCAGAAATTTTAGGGTTCCAAGAACCACTCTTCATGAAAAAAAAATCACAGGCTACTTTCCCCAAGCAGCAACTCACCTAATTTCCCATTGCTGAGTCTTTTTTGCTCCACATGGCCTTTCAGTGCTCTCACTTTCTTAAGTTTGGCTTCCTGATTCTCAGCAATTTCCTTTAATCGCTTCAGTTTTTCCTGTTCAGCAGCTTGCTGTTGCTGTCGCTGATCTTGCTGCTTCAGGAATTTCAGACGTTGTTCCTGCAGTCAAGACAAGGAGGTGTTTTTTTTTTTTTTCTTATTTAATTAACTTATGGTAAGGTACTGACAGATACAATCTCCACAGCAGCTCAGAACAGCTTTAGCCCAGTGTCCTGATTTCTCAGCATCAAGGGAAGTCTGAGAGAACAGAGCAAACACGTACCAATTCTGTCCCAATACAATCTTCCAGGTACAGCCATTCTGTAGTACAAGAACCTACTGAAACAGAGGTGGTAACAGTGTCTAACAGCCCCCAGTAAATTTTCCTTACATGAAATCTCTCAAAACCCTTTCAAGTCAAACAAAAATTTTAGCATTCATGTTCCATGACATGATTTCATTTAATCACTACTTGGCTCTTGAGTTGCAAGAGCTAATGATTATTTCCCCTCTACCTTCTCCATCTGTACTTTACAGATCTCTATCATATGTCACATTTTAAACAACTGTAAGTCATACTGGAGAATATTAGACATTCTTTATACAGAAGGCATTCCATAAATTATTGATCATTTTCACCATTGTTTGTACTTTTACTAGTTCTGCTAGAACCTCCCTGAGATGGGGATCACTGCACACCAAAGCTCTGAAAATTTACTGTTTCCTGGTAATGATCACTACTATCACAACACAGGATGATTCAAGACATGGGAAAACCTTCACAGTGACCTGGCCCCATTTATACAACAGACATCACCTCAGTGGAGAGGATCTTTTTGCCTCCCCAAGAGCATAAGAGTAAAATGGTGCGCTACCAGTTTTTATATACAGATGCCTATAGTTCAGAGCTTAAAGAAACCACTAGATCACCTATAGAGATTTCCTTTAAATCACTGGCCATTATACATTGCTTTCAGTTCTGGAGATGATCAGTTGTTACAGAGGTAGGAGAACTACTAAGACTTTCCCAAGCACCCACTAACAAACAGCCAAGACTACCACTGCTTACTAACATTAGAACTCAACAACTCCTCAAAAAAAAAAAAAAAAAAAATCAGCCATCATATTTAGAAACAGGGACTCTTGTGCACTTTGAATAAAAAAGGAAGAGCAAAAGAGTGAGCTTGCCTTCCAGAGAAAGCCAGGCAGCACCTGCAGTTTATGTACTAGTTTAGAGTCAATCCCACACAGGAAAATGTCAAAAAATAGATATTACAGCTCATGTCTAGAAAGAAAACTTATCCCCCCCCCCCTCTATTTTTAATACTGCATCTGATTTCAGAAGGCAGGAAATAGGCAATGGAATGCCTCTGTTTGGAACAAACCTGCTTTCCTAGGTGCCCTTTCAGAGAGGCAAGGTTAAATGAAAAGTTCTCCAACAGGACACCCACAAGGCTACTCTTCTGCAAACCACAGGCAACAGACATCTACCTGGATGGGTAGCTATCCAGTCTCAAACTCGTAATTTTTATTTTGGGGTTTTTTTTAGGTCTTGTACAATTCCCTTTATAGTAAATAGACATAGTGTTCCTATTTCTGGTTTCATGTATATATAGTGACTACAGTGTTACTGCTATTATTAGACCAAGGTCTATTACCATCACCTGTCAGTGAAACAGCCAAAAGTTACAAAAGTTTAGGCTTCTCTTTTATGTGAAACACTCATCTGTCAGCTTGCAACCGAGAAGAGGGCAACATTCTACCTTGGCAAATTAATCTGTGCAGGATGGGTATTAATTGTGCTGCTAAAGTTCAAGTGAAAAGTCTAATCATTTCTTACATTTATATTTGCATCTTCTTCATACCAGTTCTTATCATAAAACAGAAATGAAGTTTTATTGGCTATTTTGACAGGCCGTAGTATCATTCTGCAGGTCCTTCAAACCATCAGAAAGCCATAGTTTGAAGCAGTTCCCTGAGATATGCTTATTGAAAGCCCAGGGAACCAAAGAAGATGCTGAACATAGGGAGGTAGGGGAGAGAAGGGTAGAACTCAGCTACCTCGAAAGGAGAGCGAGAGAGGGCTTCTGACAGAGGAAGAGTAGCAAGACAGAAGCAGCCTTCTTCCCCTGTAGAGCACATTCTGAAAGGCATGGTAACTCCTCCACCCAGAGTATTTTTTCCCCCTAAACAATTCAGGAGCACCCTGTGTGCTTTCATTAGCTTTTCTGTTAGTGTTCAGCAACCATTTTATAAATCACTCTCCTAGTTGCTTTTATCACATACATGCCATCTTTTCCAGATGGCTGCCCCAGGAAACCAGGCACATTGAACTCTGTCAGGAGAAAGCGAGATATCATTAGAGGACAGCATTATATAGAGACAAAAGTGTTGTTCAGTGATCAAACCGCTGAATGGCTGGTCACCACATGGAACACAAATAGGGCTGGCAGAGCCACCAGGATGAATAACAATATATTAATGTTATGTGTTCTATCCTTTTCATAAGCTGTACGGTCACTTCTATCACTGGCATTATTTTAATGTTTTACTACTGGATATTTGCATAAGTTGACTTTCAAATTTAAAAAGACAGAGCCAAAGAAAGGGCGCGCTCTGTTTATAAGAGGTAGGAAAAAAAAAAAAACACACCCCAACCACACACAAATCTCCAACCCTCCCTCCACCTCATGTGACTCTTACTACCTTTGTTCCTGGCTGTAAACAATCTCATTCCAAACTCACCTTGTTAGCCAGCATTTGCTGTTGAGCCTCAATTTGTTGCTGCTGGCGTGATGCCATTTCCTGAAGTTCAGCCAGTGTCATATCCATCCTTGGAGCAGTGACCTGTCAAAGAAAATCCAAAGCATGCTAAGTCTAGAATTTTTAATTTGGCTCTAGACCTACTGCAGAAAACTACGGTAAAGATCTTGAAAAAAAACCAACTAACTAGCCAATAAAATAGTTAGAAAGAAATGGCATATTTTCATGGTAAAAGGATAAATAGTTCTAAGTTCATACACATGCATAGCCCAATCCAGCAACACACATAAGCTGACATCTCTTGAAACATTAATATTTCTAGCAAAATCCCAGCTGCATTTTAAAGAGGCATTTCAGGGCCCTTTATAATTAAGCTCAGCATGAATCAGCTTTGACTGACCGAGCCCAGAATGCTCAGCACACCGCAGGGTAGATTGTTGATAGATCTGTATCATTGCAATTCAAAGAACTTCGACATAACTTGAAGAAAATGTAAATATAGCAAATGTAAAGTTTAAATATAGCAGGGTAAAAAACCCAGCACCCTCAAAGGTAGCACTATTATTACATTAGTTATCGGTTTGTATTTGTTTTCTGAATCTAGATTCAATCTTGTATCTGTAATTGTATCTTCTGGACCAGGAATAAATGACAGACAATGGATTCCATGCTGAAACACTAACTGGTCTCAACTTGAAATCTGAAACTAAGGCTTCTCTGACACAAAACTGAATGTGAAAATAATCAATGAACTGAAAGAAAACAGAGAAAATTTTCAATGGGAGTAGAGAAAGGGAAAGTATATTGAATTTATATGGATGCTATCAGAGCAGCAAACACAGATATGGCAGCCAATGGATCTGAGAGACATCCTAAGAACTGAAATCAAGGGTGATAATTGTTAGAGGCTTTGTGTCTGTTTTGGAGCAGTCATTAGAAATCTCTCCAAAATACTCTCTCAGTTTCCAGGGTAGGACTTGCACCAGTATCTCAAAGGAAGGGACGCCTTCATTTGCACTATACTGGCCATTGCATCAAGCACTTACTCCATTCTCTATTCTTCGATCACCAGGCACTTTCACACCATTTCTTTTTAAGGCTAGATCTTGAGACCTTTGTCCAGTCCCTAGGTAGAAATACAGGATAGTCAAAGATAGTAAGGTATTTTAGGATTTTTCTTATCCCTTTAGACATAGCATTCAATACAAAAGGAGAAAGAGTACCATCATTTTGGCTTAGAATCTGAACAACTGTTCTTCCCCTGCTCTTACCACTAAGACAACCGATAACACAAGATATTTTATGAAGAGGCTGCTGTTTTGTCAACTTTTTTTTAAGATACAAGACAGTTTAAAAACAGACAAACAAAAAAGCTTAACCAACAGTATGCTATTTCAGTATTTCTCCCGCAGCCCACAGTCCCCTAGTAAGTCTGCATTACAAACAAATAGTCACAAAAACATGTTCCCCTCTGCAATGACACAAAAATACCTGGTTAATTCAGAGAGGCATTTGAACCAGCATCTAGATGTTTTGGTGTGCCTTTTTCAACTGTCTCACAGAGAATATCAATAACAATACTTAAAGGTTAGTCACTTGTCATGAAAGATGCACCATTTAATCTACAGCTGATTATCTGCACATAAAGTTTAAAAGCACGAAGTTTTTTCTTCCTGGAAGCCATTGTGACAGTAAAGATGCTACTTAACTAGAATCCTACTTTCATGTTTCCATCAAATTAGGTACGAATGGTGTTCAGGTGCCAAATACCAAGGCTCACTCATTTCCCTGTAGGACATACATGTACTACAGGATGAAGCCATCTCTGTTAACTTCTTGCTCACTTGACACCTATTTCAAGAGCATATTCCTGCAAGACTAACTGCAGAGCTCCTAACTTATTAATTTGCTCTTCCTCAAACATATTTTCTTAGCAATGCTATGGCAAGTAAAATGCCAATAATCCTTATACTATGAGCAAAATTACATCCTGACAACTAAACTGCACTGTAAGATCCTTAATAGGTAGAGATGGCACAGCTTCTATCATCATTATACATTTCAAACATCAAGACACATTTAGCCATTTTAAAAATATGCTGAGTACAATGACACTTTACACAAAAGTGGTGTTTCCAATACCAAGGACAAAAACAGAAAAAGGGGAAGAAGCAGCCTGATTTACAGGTAAAAGTCTTTAAGGATTCTAACTGAAGAGATTCATTTGGGATGCACAGAAAAACCTTCAAAAGCAAAAAGTTAATTTTCTTTATAGGTTTCATATTTAGATTTACAATGCATAGATACTACATTCTCAGAGAACTTGACTAGGCAGTTCATTTAATGTTGTTCCTGAAACTAACACGAATGTGTAGATTGTCACAGAAACATCGAAGAACTATTATCTTTTGCCAAGTATGCCAAGTCTATCACCCTGGTTAAGTATTATCCAGGTGAAACATCCTAAGCCCAAATAATAAGTTACATCACTGGACAACAGTTTGGTTACTAGATTTAAAAAGAAGAGACCATCACAGATCTCTAGATAATAAACTGTGGCTAATATATTTAGCACAGGATGCACTTGGATGCTTTGGTGATGACCAGCTCTAGAAAGCCTGCAAAAAGTTTCAATTTGGATTTAATGTCCCCAGATTTGGCAAGGGAGGATGAAGTATTTACTAAAATGAACAAGTTTTCTGTTACCAGCATTCTCTGTTCCTAAGAAAATAACGGTCAGACCAAAGAGGGCTGCAACACCATACTGACTACCAACATTAATAAATAACATACACAAGCTGTTTCCTTAACCCTGAGGAATGAAATGAAACTTAGACAAATGAACCAGCTGAGATCAACACCTACCTGCTTCCCGGCAGGGAGAGCGCTCATGCCGAAGAAAGAAACGAACCTCACTTCTCTGCATCCCGAAGCGCTGCAAAATATCCAGCATCCGTTCATTATCAGATATGGGGCGTTCTGAAAAGGTAAAAAGCCAGTTGGTTATTACACCCCTATGTAGCTTAGGCACATACCAAAACAAAACAACCTGTTCATCACCTTTTACTTGAACACCTGTTATTACTCAGGTGCATCTAACCCTTGCCCTCGCCCAAGGCGCCCTTAGGAAGGTGCTGTACTGCTCCTTGCTTCTGAAATTAAACCAACATCTCTGAAAAGCAGATATAACCCTTTAAAAGTCCGGCCCCGAAGGGAGATGCTGAGGCACTGTCGCATTCCAAGGGGAAGCGAACACACAGTTTAGAGCTTTTGGCTCTAGCGCCTTAAGTTTCATATCTGCAAATCATCTCACACGCTCACCGCCGCAGGAAACGTGCTGGAGTACCTTTTGCTCTACTTCTGTGGTATCTCAGGCAAACTTATTTCTCAGTCATTCCCACACCCTCCTCAAGGGCTCCTCCGCCCGGATTCCTATAGGGACTCATCTACTTCCTATTCCAGTGAGAATTAAGGGAGATGCAAAGATAAACTCTCAGAGAAGAGGAATTCTTCTCTTAACGCTCCATAAGGATTGCAATCAAATGCCAGATTGCAGCCCCTGCGTTCAAGCTCAGGCAGAAGCACGCAATACCCTGAAGAGGCTCCTAGGCAGTACCCAACGGGTCTGACCCTCAGCAAGCCATCAGAGCTCCTGTCACTTCAAGTGTTCTCCTACAGCACCTGTCAGCCATAGATCCTGCTCACTCTCTTGGACAGCAAATTTGAAGTTCAGATTACACGCATTTCAAAAGCCGTGCTTCTGGTAAACCTGGAAAAGCTGAACTATTTTGGATTCATGGCTCAAAGGAAAAAAGATGAGACAGTGGGAAGCAACTCCAATAACAATTTGCTATTCTTTTCACGTGGTTAAGATGAAGTGTCTTAAAAAGTTACATGCACAAGGTCCACTGAATTTCTTTTCCTGCTTTTGTTCCGAAGTTCAGCATTCAATCACATCTCTAATTTTTAAGCCTTACTTGTTGCCTTTTGGTGTCACAAAAATCCAGTGGGAGTCTATATCGCCTTCATTTACCAGTCACTCCTCCCGTTCTTGTATTACTGTTCTTTCAAATTTTACACACTTCATAGCTGTGCATTCACGGGGAGGATATAATTACAATTACTTATCGGCCTCTAAATCTTTACATAAAAGCAAGTGCTTTTGTTATCCTAGACATTTTACCACGTATTTTTACGTCTGTGCTAAAAGTGATGGCAAACATGCAGTCAATACATTAGTCAAACTTATGTAGTCAGGATACTGTCATAGTATCTTATGACAACATGAGACTCACGATCAGGTTAGAGCCAGATAAACAGAATATATTGTTCCTGGCCTGAGAAATAAGACAAGCAGACAAATACTGAAATTAAATACCCCCACTTTTGCACCAGTTTCATTTTTCCTGACATTGCTTTTGTTGGATGTTTCCTTTTGTTATTTAAGCAAGGGGAGGAGGAAAAAAAAAAAAAAGAAAAAAAGGAAATCAGAGTAATTCATTCATATTCAATGGAGACTCTTTCAAAGTCACTATCTTAATACGGAATAATCATTTCAGGGGAAAATTGTTGGTGTTAAGTATAAATGTTTTCAGTTTCATAAGAAAGAGGAGCTACTAACATGTTTTCAGCATGCGAAAAGCTCTTTTCAACATAAAAGTGTTTCTTTAAATGAAAATGCTGCAGCTGTGCTCTAGCAATCTAGGAAGGAAAATTTCTGGAGTCACTGTCAAAAGAGATTAGCTTTACAGAATAAGCAAGTAGGTCACTGTTACAGAAAAAGCAGTCTCTTGGCGGTTACTTGTCTAGACAACTATAAAAGCTCTTCATCTGCTAAACCTTAATTCAAGGGAGGGGGGGAAGGGAGAAAACCAACAAAAAACACAACAATATCACTGCCAGATTTCCATCTTAAAGATACAGCAGACTTACGAGACAGATTTCTAGCAGCTCGGCAATACTTCAACTGAAACTCTATAATCAAGGGAGATGCCCTTTACGCAAGGATTCTGTCAATACCACTCTGACTTCAAAGGAAGGTCAAAGAGATTTTCAAATACCAAACAAAACTTCTTTTGGAAAGCTCAAGAAGAAAGGACAAACAATCAGACTTCATTTGTTTTATTCCCTAACTATCTGTCTCAAAGAAAAAAAAAATACATCTTTATTACATGCACACGCCTTTTTACTGCTTTCCACCCCCTTGGCCATCACTGGCCAAGGTAGTCACCTAAGAATTCTGTTGATAATAGGAAGATCAAGGATGTTTACCCTGATACTCATCAAATTTCAAGCAAAACTGGGAGGACAGGAAGAGTAGTAAACTTGCCCCCTTCAGGGAGCAGAGTGCCTCAAGCACACTTGCAGCAATCTTTCAAAGTACGCTTAATAAGGTCTGACAACAGAAGCTAAAATTCCTGAGCAAGCATCAGAAAGAGAGAGACACAAGCAATCTAAGAAGGATCTTGGTAACTGAAGTCTGAGAAGTCATTTTCCAACATAAATCTTTTGTTTCTGCCCCAGAAAGTTAGCTGCCGCATGTCATGTTGCTTCTAAAGTTTAATTTGTTCAGTGTAAAATGAAAAAAAAAATAAAAGTCATGGCATAGCTTGACAAAACAAGACAGTGAATTTTGCTGACATCTAAAATGATATTTGGTAAAAGCTAAAAATATTTGTCTGCCTTCCCGTCCCCGCCAAAATCCAAGATAGAGATGAAAACATATCTTGCAAATGGTTGCTGCTGGATGTCATACAGATGCTTAAGAAAGGATATATTTTATGCAAAACAACATGTATGTACTTCATCCAGTACTCAAGTCTTTTGATATTACATGATTTAAGACTACTGCATTTTTGTTACCAAGTACAATTTGAAACTGCGTACCATTTCACATACACACACAGAGGAGTGTTTGTATATAGGAGTAATTAGTAAGTATGACAGGATCAGTGAAGGGAACAAGAATAATTTGGTTTCTAAAACAATTGTCAAAGTTTTCACTGTATAAATGAATGATACTTTTTTGGGGGTCTTATGGCAATAGCTGTGCAAATAACATTTAAGTATCTCTTCTCATGGTATCTCATGACATCCTTGCAAAGACTAATCTCATAAAAAATTCTGTGCTTCACTTTATGTTTCTGTATCCAGATTATTTTCTTACATCTCCTTGTGTACCAGAGAGGCTGACAACTTCATTTTGCAAATAAATCTCCTTATATTATGTAGTCCCACCCACCCAGAAGTTCACTTTTCAGCTTGACAAGACCATTTGGACACTAAGTACTGTCAGACTTCACTTGCCTCTCAGTATAGGTGCTCTCCCTTCATTTCAGGACAACCTTGCTGCCCGTTCTAGCATACTCTACGTCAACATCTCAAAAGCCAATCAAGAATCCAGGTTCAGGAAAGACAAGCAGGGCTCCAACTTTGGTAATGACAAGAAAACCCTGTCCCTCACCATCACAATCTGTGCTCTTCAGCAGGGCACAGGGCTAAGACAAACTATAAATTCAGTGGTTTTACCTAGACCTTTATTTTACTTGTATGTCTCTGTTGACTTTGGTATTGTATTGATTTAGACAGAATTGGACAAAGACATACAATAAAAACACTTTCCTAAAAGATCTCTTTCCATGCTGCATTAGTGATTTTATTTTCCTATCATTTATAAAGAAAAGATGCTTTCTTTTCTAAGAAGAAGAAAAAAATTCTGTGGCATTTTTTAAACTTAGAAATATCAGAAACGTTACATTTCTGTCCGAAGGGGCTAAAAATCAAGAGACAACTCAGGTATCTTATGCTATTAAACAAACATCCAGCTCACCAAGGACGACTTTGAACAGGTGTGAGCCTGGCCAACAGCAGAGGAAGACAGGAACATAAGCCCTTATTAGCTGATTCTTTTATAATTTTATTGAAGCATCTCAAAAAAGTTGGATCAAATATCATTATTTTTCTTGACTTAAAATCCTGTCCATGACTCATCTATTTCATGCCTCTGGATAGCTACCAATATCTAAGGAGTACCATGGCGACAGGAGATAGTCAAGAGTCCTTTCCCATTTAAGCCATGAAAAGTTAGCCACACTTTAGCTTTTGATTTGTTTGGTGACATGTTCTCCACTTCCAATGGAGCATGGCAAGCTAGGGAGATTTGAACTTCCAAGACAAAAATCAGCAAGAACACAGACAAAAAAAAAAGGCAAAGAACCACAAACATAAAATCCTCTTCCACAGGCTTAAAAGGACAGAGGACAGTCCAAAGTAGTTTGTGTGTCCTCCCTCCCATCCACCACCCACCTTCTTTAGAGCACTTCACATCAGGTAACTCCTACTACTTCTGGTAACACTCCTTCCCATCCAAAGTCAACCAACACAATCCGGAACAACAAAGGCGCCATCAGAAAAAGAAAGTTTTCCTTTGACACTACAAGTGAAAATGGCTATGGGGTTGAAGAAATTATTCTGACTGGGTCACAGAACTACTGAGACTTACTACTTCAAAAACCCCACACAGGCCACTGGGATCCCACTGTGGGGAAAAGAAGGAAGAGAAAACAATTCTCCCACACCCTTCAGAGATTCGTTTGAGTCAGAGAAGGGCTGCATACACACAAGAAAATCTACATGCTTGATCCCCCTTCTTCTAACTCATTTTTGCATGCGTGAGCCTCTTTGTAGATGCATTATCATACAGCAGGTCTGATGAAGACATTAACAAACTGTAAGGCAGAAACCCTCTGGGACAGGACCACATTTGCCAGGTCTCCATGTGGTACCTTATTAGAAGCAGTGAATGCCCAGCACATCACAAAGTGCAAGCCTAACCTACCTGAGCCACACCACACTTCAGCCAGGTGGCACTCGCTCTCACCAGGCTCCTTGCACAGCTCCACCACATCTCTGCAGGTCGTTTCGGGGGTGACTGGCACCTCAGTGAAGTGCTGCTCGTTGTTACTGAGGTACACAGTCAGAAACATCTGGAAAAGACAAAGGCAACAGCACACGGTTACTTTGCAATACAAAGCCAGACTGCACATCGGAGTCACAATCCTCTCATTAAATGCATTATTTTCAACGCAATTGTATCATTTGTTATCAACTACTGTGCATATAGAATTTCAAAACAAAACCAAATTTCTTTTTAAGGTACAAGCAAGCGAAACACTATGGAAGTAATTCTCTGCTCAACTAAATTACATTGCTGGAGGATTGGTTGGTTTTAAAGCTGGACCTACTGCTCCTTCCTTCTCTCTTAAGGCGATGCGTCAGAACTCTTCCCACCTTACTATATGTATATACTGCACCCATTTGACACAGCCAGAAAAACAGTCACCTAGAGTTCAGAAATATTCTTTATAGTGAAAAACAATGGCAATTACATCTA